TATTTATAATGTATTTGCTTGAATCAAGTAAAATTGTATGGTTTGTATGATTGCTGCTCTTGAAAAAGGATATCTTATATTCATAAATAGACGTCTGAAGGAAATTTTCTTGAATGTTTCATAACTGTTGAATTTATACATTCATAATATAGTTAAAGTCTAATGAGTAATGAGCTATGCCAACTTATAACGAGTAATAGAATTAGGAGATAAATAAAAAATTGTCAATATTTTATTTTTTTGATTAAGTTAATATATAATATTGAGCTAGACTTCATTAAAATAGTTAATGAAAATTAGTTTACTAAGCTATTAATTTAAGAGATTGTCAAAATGTAAGATTTCCTTAACAACTTATAAATTCAAAATGTGAAAATTTGATAAGAAAAAAATAAAAATTTCTCATTGACTAATACATTCATTTTTGAATTAATTTTTATATAGAGCAATAAGGGAATGTTTACCTTTATTTCTACACTAATTTTCCTATTATTTTCAATCCATAAAAATATATATCTGTATATTAATGATTATAAATAAATTTTTTTATATAAGTATGTCTTGTCAGCCTTCTTGCTACCAAATACAAAAATTAAAGTTGTGTGGATTTCATAAATATTAACTTACTTTAAAAAGATTATGCGAGCAAAAAAAATGTATGAAAATTAAGGTTTAAATTAAGAAAAATAATAATATATTTTTTCATTTTATTCAATTACCTACAAATATACTCATGCCATCACTAGCTTTTTTAATTTTATACTAAAAATAATAGATATAAAAGAAATCTAGATTTAATTTTTAGCTTTTGGCTAGCATTTATTTAGGCAAGTAATCTTATAAAGATTATTTTCAATAACAATTATTTTATTTTAATCTAGCTCATATAGTCATTGGTAAAATAGAGGCTCACTTGAATTCTTAAGGCCTTTCGTTTGATTTTAAAAAATCTATAAAACAAATGGTATTATTTTTCATATTTCCTTTGAATCTCAATTAGACAAGCCAAAATAAGGAGATGAAGGAAGAATTTGAAACAGTTAATTACGTATTTACAATCGACCATCACTATGTTATGTTCAAAAAATATACAAATTGTGATAAAACTAGCCAATTTTCAGCTTGATATAATAATTGAATGTAGTACGAGGATAACTTGGATTAACAATTAGAATAATTCTTCATAAAGGAACTAAATGGATTATTAGGAATAAATAGAAAGGTTTAATAAAAATGTTCATTTTCAATTTAGTATCATTTCTTATTTTAGTATCTTGAAAATTAAATAATCCAAAAAATCATTTTTAAATATTCAAAGTTAAACTGAAACTTTTTTTCTATCATTTAATCAAACTCTAAATAGTTCTTTATTATTGAAGATTTCTTAACTTCTAATTTTCATTGTAGCTTCAAAAATAAATCATATCTTTGTTTTGCAAAATAAAAGAAAATTCATACAGCCAGCAGCTTTGCATTATTATTATGAATATATATAGTTTATTCTATAGCCTTATTATAAATGTTTAGATATATAGAAGAGAAAATTGGGGGGTGTTTACTTCACCTAATTTATTGTTGTTTTTTTATTTTTCAAATAATTAAGTTGATATTAATTAATCTTCACCATAAATAGCGAACATTAAATTGATTCAATTATAATATTTACAATAATTATGATACTACTCATCATCTTAGCCTATACAACTTATCAAAATCTTATTTATTAATTTGAAGCTAGCTCTACTAGAAAAGATGGTAATTTTTTATAATTTAAATGTATATTTTAGGATGGGAAGATTTTCATAGTAATTGTGATTTCCATATTTATGAAGGAATTCATTATTTTGGATCGCCTTTTAATGATTCAAAAGATATTAGCAGAATATTTTTAGATTTAGAACCTCATTCTAATATTATAGTGGAAGCAAAAATTCTTAGGTAATTGTATTTTTAATTCTATAAGTATTGATTGTAATAGTTTACCTTATTTTTAAATAGATTTCTAATAAACAAATTATGGATCAGAGATATATTAAATTGTTAGTGCTGAATATGTATGTAATATTTCTATAAATCGCTAACATAATAGAAGAAATGTTTGGATTAGGATTTCTTTCTAGGATAGAGGATTAATATCATTATGATTAAGTATCACTCGATGTAAGTATGAATGCATTGGATGCATAGAGAATTAACATAAATTTTGTTTATAACGGAAACTGTATTAATAGTCGTTTATTAATAAAATGATCACAAATTTTGATGGGTGGACTTTTGAAAATGATTATTATTATGATACTCAATTCAGATGTGGAAATTGCTAAGTTTTGAAATTTAAGGAAATTAAATATTCTACTCAATTACCTCCCCATCAAGATATACTAATAAGGTTTTTTAAACGTAGCTCTACGACTATTATAATAGACTATTTATATGGTAAATAAATATTCAGTTCTGCCAATTAATAAATAGAAATATTAATAAGAAATTATCACGATATTATATTATAATTGATTATTCAAAGCCATCCTTTAGAAGAATTCGGCCTTTTAAGAGATTTTGAAATATTTTACACTGAGCCAGAAAAAATGTTAAACATTTTGAATGAAGGTTGCTAAGAGTAAATTGATGATAAATGTCTAATTTGCCAAGAAGGTTGGAATTAAAATGGAATTTTTTAAAATTGTCATCCAGTTTGTGGTGATGGAATTATAAAAGGTTAAGAAGAATGTGATGATGGTAATCTTATATTTAATGATTCTTGCTATTTATGCAGATTTAAATGCATTGAATTTTGTTAAATTTGTTAATTTGGAATTTGTTTGTAATGCTAAGATGGATTTGTTATTAACAGCAACTTTACTTGCGATCCATTATGTGGGGATGGTAATTTAATTCCTTATACAACTGAATAATGTGAAATGGAAGTTAATGGTGTAAGGGATGGTTGTTAGGATTGTAGATTTATATAAATTACAAACTGTAAAACTAACGACTATTCAATTTGTTTTGAGTGTTAAATTGTATACTAAATGCTAGAAAGCATATGTTTCCCTAATTGTGGAGATAAAATTGTTCTTGAATATTATGAGGATTGCGATGATGGTAATTTACAACCTTATGATGGTTGTTTCCAATGTAAGTATTCTTGTCCAGAAAATTGTTAAGATTGCTATTAAGGTACTTGTTTAGAGTGCGATTATCAATACAAATTATTAGTTTAAAATTAATGTAAATAATAATTATATTGTGGGGATGGATTACTTTAGGAATAAGAAGAATGTGATGATGGAAATTATTAAGCTGTGGATGGGTGCATAAATTGTTTAGTTGAATAAAATTGGATGTGTGTTACTATAACACAAGATTCCCCTAGCTAATGCACATTTCTCAAAGCTCCAAATTTAATAATTAACTATCTCAATATGACTTAAAATAAATAGTACATCAACATCTAATTTAGTTAAAAAGTAAAAACACAAACAACATAACTCTTATCAGAAAACATAAATTTTTAATTATAAAATATAGACAAGAATAAGTGGAATAGTTTCTTATACATAATATAGGATGTTGGATAGAATGTGAGTTTTGAAGAATTTATTGTCTAAATAGAAGTATAGTAATTACTTGAGTTTAGGCCAATCTTGAAAATTTTAATAAATCAGACGGTTGTTAATATAGATAATGTTGTTTTGGAGGACGTCGAAAAATCAATAACATTAAAATATCCACAATTTCTTGATGAAATGCAGAAGGAGTATTCCTACAAGTTGAAAAATCTTAATCAAAATATAATTTATAGTTTGTCTGGGATTATTGGTATAAGTCTGCTGTTAGGTAGTGGAGATTTGTTTGTTGAAGTT